CCGAAGTCTTCGTAACACCTGCCTCTTACTGTCCGACACCACCAGCCTCTCTCCCTGTCCCCAGCCCACTCAGTCACCCTGGCCTCTGCTGTCACCCTGGCCACTCCCTGCCTTGCCCAAAGGCCCTTCCTCCACAGGCTCTGAGCGCTCACTGTCACGGTGGCTCCCGCCTCCCCAGCCTCCCATGCCCCTTTCCCAGCTTTGACACCCTCCAAAGTTTCTAAGCCTCATTGTTTGTCTGCTCCCAGAAGCTTGCAGGCTGCTAGATGGTTCTCTCACATCTTTTTCCCCATGACTGCATCCCTGAGGCCCGGCACCCAGCAGGTGCTTAGGAAATGAATGACTGAGTGAACAAATGAATGAATGCAGCTCCCCGCTGGCCCGAAAGGGACAGTGTGGAGGGTACCCCACAGCAGTGGGAACTTGCTCTTTCAGGTGAGGACTAAGCCACCCACAGAAATGTGAGGCCCAAAGAGCAGGCAGACCTCCCAGCTGCGGGCGGTGGCTCTGGCGATGGGCCTATTCCTGTTCTGCAGTTGGAATCAGGACGGAGGCTCTCCTGGAGACTCCAGGCACTGTCAGTCCTGCAGACTGCGAGGGAGGAAAGGGCCAGCCCCAAGTGTCAGTGTGGGTGACAAGCAGGAAGCCTCTAAACCCATCCAAACACTCCCCAGAGAGCCAGGCAGCTCTGCTGGGCACCGAGGGCAATGTAAGAGCCAGAGTGAAGAAGGACAAATTGCTGAAAACAAGGCGTCTGGAAAAATGCCGTGATCAACCAGACCTTGGCCTTTGCTTCCCCACAGAGAGAGAGCTCTGATAGCTTCAAATAGAGCTCGAAATTGCTCTCACTTTGAGGGATTTGAAAGACAAAAAGCAAAAGTGGCTTTTAGCTCCTGGAGTGGGCTGAGCGGGAACAAGATGGAGGCAGAATCAGCTGCCTTTTCCCATTTTGCAGTAACTGGTTGAATGAGGAGGCCACACAGTCTCCGGAGATGCCCACGCATGGAGACGCACGCACGATAGCTGACCGTTAAATGCGCCCCACCACCTGCAGCTCGCCGGCTCTCCTTTCTAAACAGGAAGTGTTAACAGAACTCAAACACAAGGAGAAGCGTGAAGACGGGTGAGGCATCTTCCCAGATGGCCTGGAGGGTCGAGAAACTGCAGGCCGGCTTCTCACCCAGGCTGGTTCTGCTCCGAAACAAGGAGGCCTGGAGGTGCCCCAGAGGCCCCCAGGGACTCCGGATGGAGGGGTGAGGATCCAGTTGCAAAATCAGACACACCATCCCCTTTGCACTAAGCATCCCCGACCTCAGCTGAGACGTGTCCTGCCGTCACCTCACAGGCACAGAGTCCAGCCTCTCCACGGCTAAACCTGGCCTCACCCCCACTTCTGAAAAACTGTGCTACTGACCAGGCCTGGCTGAGGGCTGCTCGCCTCAGAAGCGGGCCTCTGCTGGGTGGGTGGCTGCCACCTCCCAGTCTCACCCACGGGGCTGCGTGGAGTCTGACAAGTTTCCTCTCCAACTTCTTTATTTTCAAATGTTTTGATTATTCAATTTTTAAGTGTGGTTTTTCTGAGACAGCCTCTTATTGTGTTGCCCAGGCTGGCCTGGGACTCCTGGGCTCAAGCCATCCTCTGGTCTCAGCTTCTGGAGCAGCGGGAACCCTAGGCACCTTGCCTACAAACCTCCTTTCGGTGCAGATTTGCCACAATATGAATGACCTGGAGGACGTGGGCCTGAGGGAAATCAGCCAGACTCAGAAGCAAAACAGCCACTGACCTCACGTATATACAGACTTTAAAAGAAAGTCAGATGTACAGAGAATGAAATAGTGGTCACCAGGAAAAGGAGGGAGGGGGCGGCAGATGTCGGTCAAAGGACAAGCAGGAGCAGATGCAGGATGAACAAGTCAGAAGAGCTGAGGTCCCGGGTGAGGACCACAGGTGCTAACAGGGAATAGTGGATTACATTCCAGGTCTTTGGTTACAGGCAGAGCTACAGGAGTGCCTGCTTTTTGCCACAGGGGAAAGTGAGTAATTATGTGGGATGACGGATATGCTAATTTGCTCTGCCATAGTAACCATTTCCCCATGTGTATATATATGTATCTTGTAACACGTTGTATACCTTAAATATACACAATGGCATTTGCTTTTGGAAAGCGTGGATGACGCTTCCCTGGGCTCATCTCCAGGTTAAGACCAGTTCTCCGAGGCGGCCAGCATGTTCTGGACACCCTGGAATGCAGCCAGCCAGGGCCTAGGAGAATGCAAGTGGCGGGAGCAGACCCTGAAGGTCAGCCGGGGAGGGTTCCTAGCTCAGCTGGGAAGTGTTTCCTCACCAGGATTCCCGACAAAGAGAATGTTCAGATCGATTCTGGCTGGAAGCATCATCAGCTGTGGGCCCTGGGTGGGGCTGGCCCACGGGGGCTTCTCACCAGGAGAGCAGGAGCACATTCCCCCAAAGGTGCGCTCAGCTCAGATGCCGATGGGGAGCGTCTGAGGACACGACAGGGCCCGGCATTCCAGGGGAGGCCCCAAGAGCACCCCCATGTGGCAGCCTGAGGGGCAGGACCCAGGATGAGCAGGTGGTCAGGCGTGGCAGGGGACTCTGTCAAAGTCCTGTGGCCAAGGAACATGGCAGTAAGCGGAAAGGGAGTGTTTGAGGTGGAAGTCGGAAGGATGAGGACTGAGGAAAGGCCACTTGGGGTCAGGAGGTGGCAGTGGCCATGTGAGGGCCCCACAAGCCCAGCTCAGGTGCTGTATGGGCCAGGCCTCCACTGCCTCCGACCCCAGGGCCACCGTCAGAGCTTCCAGGTGACTCTGATGCTCACCGAAATCCAAAGTCACTGCTCTGGACATTTCAGATAGAAAAGGCCCAAATGAAAGGACCAGACAGGGGCTGGGGATGCGGCTCAGGCGGTAGCGCGCTCGCCTGGCATGCGTGCGGCCCGGGTTCGATCCTCAGCACCACACAGGAACTGGGCCCTCCAGAAGGAAGCTGAGTCAAGGTACTGTGCACGCAGTCCTGGTACAGGGTGAGGCCGGCAGGAGCAGGCGGCTCTGGAGGCCTGTGGGGGGCAGGTGACTCTGTGACCGTGAAGGGCAAGACGCACGGACCATGGTTGAGACAGGGGCACACTGAGGCTGACAAGGAGCCAGGTGAAAAACCCTGTCCTGCCCTCCTGGGTTTAGGTTCTTGAATCATCGTTGTCGCTGTGAGTAACACAACACGGTAGGGAAGAAACGCCGCGAGAGCCTACCCACGGCCAGACGCTCGGCAGGCCCACGGCTAGTTCCCCAGGCCTCCTGCAAGCTCCACTGCCCCAGGGCCAAAGTGAATGCGGCTCTCACAGTCTTCCTTCCTTCCAATCCAGAACAAGGCCCTGTCCTCTGCCGACAGACCGCGTGGAGGGTGACACTCCTCCTGCCTCACTGGGTCTCGCCACAGGGGTGGGCCCCACCTTGCGATCCAGTCATTCTTCTCCTGACTGAAGCCACGAGCAAACAGAAACCAGGAACACTGGGCTACCCCTGGGCCAACGTCTCTCTGGCCGGGACTGAGCACGTGGTCATGAACACCTGCTTATAGAGCCCCGAGTTCCCTGGAGGAGCTGGCTAAGGTGGGTAAAAGCCAACCCCATGAACTGCAGCAGGAAGCTCCATTTGCCCCTTGGTCCCACCAGTGTTTAGGGTGGGGCACAGACCCGACCCACCCTGTGGCTGTGGTCAGGGCCACTCATTGTCCCCACGGAAGTTCCCCTGGAGGCTAGTAGGTAAAGACAAAGGGTTTCACAGGAGGGTCAGAATCTCCTGGGTCACTTATCCAGGGAAATGTGGGATAAATTGTTTCCGAAAATCTAGGGAAGAGGGGAAGGAGGGGGAGAGATGAAACTGGAAAACAGTTGAGGAGCACCCTACAGAGGGCCCAGAATGCCCAGTGACAGGACTCTGTGGACAAGGAGACAACGGCAGATACTGTTCACGAGCGTGGACTGGCGTCCACACACCACCCGGTGGGGGTGGCATCTCAAGGCCTGGGTGCCAAGTGGCAGGCGGAAAGTTCTCGCTGAGTGAAGGGCAGGCCACTGGTGGAGAACGTGTTGGGCAGCAGAGAGAAGAGCTGAGCCTAGAAGCAGACTGCCTGTGCTCCGCCCCAGCCCTGCAGGTATCCGCTGAGGGGCCTGGCAGCCCTCTGTCCGCTCATCTGCAAAGTGGGGGCACTCATTGTTCACAGAGGTCCATGTTGTGGGAACATTAAAGTGGGAACTACTGAGAAGCATTTGGCACTCGGTCTGCATCAGCTGAAATGATTCTTCTAGGACCACCTTAGTGACAACAAGATGTGAGCACGTGGCTGGTCACGAATGTCCATGTGTCGCCTTGCCCTGATGAATGGCGGACACACACGCTGTGGCAAACACTCCTCCCCACCAACAGCGCAGGGCAGACTGGCATTGCACATGGTCCCCGCTCAGCAACTCTCCTACCACTACCGAACCCGGGTGTTTCCTGGCTTCAGAAAACAGACAAGAAATCGAGAGGTCCTGGATTAGCCTCAGGTCACCTTTGCTGAGTGACTGGGGTGCATGAATGACCCAGCAGCCCCAGAGGATGTTTTGGGTGGCCGGCAACGTTGGCTGACAGTGTCTAAGGAAATGCTACCTCGGTGCAGACTCCTCTCCCCTCGGGCTAGGAGACGAGCGTGGCAGGACTTGGGAGTGTCCAGCACATGGGGTCAGGAACCAGCATCAGGAGAAGGGCGAAGGCTGCATGTCCTGTCCTCCCTGGCCCAGGGTGACAAGGCTGTGGCCAGGCCTGGGATGGACCCTCAGCGCTATCCCAGTCAATCCTGAGCGCACTCACGGGGCCATCTGCATGGAAGGCCCTGGTGGCAACTGTCACCTCGGCGCTGGGGACTGAGTTCCGCCTTGGAAAGGGGTTCTAGGGTCAAACCCCCACGGCAACTCGGGAGGCAGGGGACCGGTGAGCTTACCTCCACGTACAGCAGGGGGAAGATCCCGATCTTGTCTCCCAGCATGCCTTCAGCCCAGTTATCATCCACTCTCCGGATCACGGTCAAGACTTCATCCTGAGGTTTCCGGAGCCCACCAAGTAGACACAGGCCAAGAAGGGAAGGAAGAGACTGGTTAGCACAGCTGAGGCCAACGACAGATCCTACGAGGGGGCCTTGTCCATTCGGACTTTGGCCTGTGAGCAATCAACCTTCCGCTTCCCCAGCTGTCCTCTGTCTCTCTCTGTCTCTCTGAGGCTATTGATCACAGCTGCAGAGACCCCTCCACGGAAAAGCCGAGCGTTTTACAATGGAGTTAGCACTTTAAGACACGTGCTTCTATTATTTATTTAACGAAATGAAAATATTTTGAATAAAAATAAATTCGGCTAAGCAGAAAATGTTTCAAGTTTCTGGCTTCATCAAAGAAACAAAGAAGAGAAATAACCCGATCCAACTACATTGACTTAGAGTCGTGAGCACATAAAGCGTTGAATAACCCTCTTAAATTCTTTGGCGAATCGGACAAGACCAAGTGTGAATGCACAAAGTGGAAACAGATGGAGGAGACGGGGAGAGGCCCGAGGAGGAGGAAGAGGAGCTTCCCAGGGAGCCTGGGAGCCAGACTGTGGGCGAGGAAGGAGACACTCAGGTGTTGTCAGAGGTGCGGGAGACCCAGAGCACAGGGCAAGGACGCAGGGTGACAGAGAGACAGGCCTGGGGGAGATGGGGACTAACAAGGGAATGGGAGGGGCCCTGGAGAGACAAACAGCTACAGCTAGTGCCCGGAGGGAGAGACCACCACAGGGACGCCCTGGGCAGGCCTGGTGGGGCCCATAGGAGCCATCTCTGGCTCCCCACCGCCCCGACCAAGTCACTGTCCTGGGACCGTCTTTCCTTGAGCAAGCAGCGCACAGTGCGGAACCCTGCACCCAGGGCTGTCGACTACCTTCTCCCACGGAAACCTCCCCGACCCCTGTCAGCAGCTGGTAGCCTCGGGGATCACCCCCTTAGATCTGAAGGGCCATCTGTCCTGTCCCCGAGAGCCCCCGCACTGTCACCTGAAGAAGTAAACGGGCCTCGTGGTCCGCAGACTTCCTGTGGTTATGGGGAAGCTCTGCCCACCGGGAGATGAGGAGCTGCCCAATTGGGGTGTTCGTCAAAGGTGAGAGAGAACCCCCTGAGGTATCGGGTCACACCCTACGGAGAACTCAGAGGGAACAGCCAGGTCCAGTGCTCTGCACCGAGAACAAACCTCCTGCACCATCATCCACGGAGAGAGCACAGCACACGAGATCGTGTGCAGCACGTGATACTAGACGACAATAACTGTTCCTGGTGGATGTGTGTACTGTGTGGTACATTCTAACCATGATTAAGAGTGCATTCTTGCTTACTGAAAAGAAAGTTGGCTGTAAACAGGACGCGGTGTTACACCAGCAGTTGCCTCGTACGTACGTCTTGTGTTTACAGTATCTCTCTTTTTTTTTTTTCAATTTTTATTGTTGGTTGTTCAAAACATGACATAGCTCTTGACATATCATATTTCACACTTTGATTCAAGTGGGTTATGAACTCCCATTTTTACCCCGTATACAGCTTGCAGAATCACATCAGTTACACTTCCATTGATTTACACATTGCCATACTCGTGTCTGTTGTATTCTGCTGCCTTTCCTATCCTCTACTATCCCCCCTCCCCCCCTCTTCTCTCTCTACCCCCTCTACTGTAATTCATTTCTCCCCCTGGTTTTTTTTCCCTTCCCCCCTCACTTCCTCTTGTATGTAATTTTGTATAACCCTGAGGGTCTCCTTCCCTCTTGATTGCACTGATTTCTCTTGTGCTTGATTTGACTTCAGGCTGTCATCATGGCCCTCAGAACCACAGGCTGTGCTTCGAATGTGAGCCATGCCTCCTAGGTATGGAGTAAGCTTCGCCATCCAGGTTTGTGTAAGTACCCTCTGTGATGTTCACACGATGATGAAATTGCCTACCGGTGCGTGTATTTACTGCTCAGGAGCGTTCCTGTCATTAAGTGACATGTGGCTGTACCACTTTTAATGATTCATATCATACGCCAGAAATATGCAACAGGCATTCAAGGGAACCGAGTCCCTTCACGTGGGTGAGGTACTCAGTTCTTAACTCCAAGATGCTATTCACAGGGCTTTCTTCCAGCAGACGCTCAGCCCTGGGAGCGTGCCCACTGGAGCCAAGTGTGGAAGACGGGTGGAAGGGACATGCACACAGAGGGAAAAGACACCAGAATTAATAATCAAGGATCCATACCATTATCTAATGCTATTTGAGAAATTAGAGCCAAAGAAATAAGATAAAGTAAGAAGTATAAATAATAAAAAGATGGATTTATATGTTTTTTTATCTAGAAAAAGAGTAGCAACTAAAAATCAGAATAAGAATTTGAGAAAGGCTGCCAATTTTAAAATAAATTCACAAACATCTTTGGCTTTCCCATATACCAGCAGTAACTGGTTAGAAAATGGCTAGCCATTAAAAACCTGGTTCTGTGAATATGCCAAAATTAATTCCATAAGGATTAAAGGCGTGTTTTTAAAAACTTGAATACCCAAGAAGAAAATATGAATAGATGTTTAATCTTGAGCTGGGGAAGGTATCTTGAAGTATGATAACAAAGATTTGGCTGAAGAAAAACTAAATCCTGTATGTTAAAAATAATGAATGCAAAACAAAAAAATCAAATAAACTGGAAAAATATTTGCAGAATATAGGCAAGATAAAGGCTTCCTATCCTAGCTATCAAGAGACTCTAAATGACAGGGGGGGAAAAAGACAAATACTTAAAAGGAAAAATAAGCCAAGGGCAAAAATTCAGGAACTCACAAAAGAAGAAAAGCAAATTGGCCTTAAACACATTTTTAAATGTTAGACCTGACTGAAAATCAAAGAAATATAATTTTAACTGAGAAGATTCTCTTTTTTCTTCTTTGTTCTTTTTGCCTGTCAAATTAGCATGGATGAATATGGAAGTGACTCACCATGGCGGCCAGCAGGCAGGGAACAGGCACGTTCCCGTTTTGGTGGGATATAAATTTAGGGCAGGCAGTCTGTCAGTTCCCATCAATCATCAAAGCCTTGAAAGCTTGTAACACCCCGTGACCTGAACATGCCATGTTTTTCCCCAAGAAAATACAGTGTCTTGAAAGTCTTCGCTCTGAGGATGTTCATTTTGGTATTTGACAAACTAGAGAAAAACTGAAGTCAAACACACAGCAAACATAAGCATATGGCTTTCAAAAATATGTAAATGGTAGCACACCCTCCACACTATTCTGTGTCTTGCTTTTTCCACTTAATCTTGGTCAAAGGATTGTTCAATGATTGTGCATACAGAACATCTTCACTCTTTTAATAGCTACACAGTAACATTCGGATAAAACATATCATAACTTACTAGTGGACCTGGTAGTTATTTTTATTTTTTTTTAAAAATGTGTATTTTTAGTTATAATTGGACACAATGTCTTTATTTTATTTTTATGGGGTGCTGAGGATCAAATTCAGTGCCTCACACATGCTAGGCGAGTGCTCTACTTCTGAGCCACAACCCTAGCCCCAGTAGTTATTTTTAAATGAAAAAGTAAGATTCAAAACCCATTTGTATAACATCCATTAAATGAACATATCATAAAATATCATCCAATTTTTAGGAAAAAAATAAAAAATACATACACTTAGAAACAGTGGGACAATGTATATGCAAAAATTTGTAGAGCAGACAACTTTAGGAGAAGGAAAGGGTAAGTTGGCTTCAATTAATGTGCCCTTTTATATTTTCCAAATATTCTACAATAAATATGAACCTGTTTTATAATAGAATTGTCTCAGAAACCAGAAAAAAAAATACAGGAGGAAAACAAGAGGCCTAAGATTTTCTTATACTTCTGGATATGTTCACTTCACTTTGAAATCTTTAAGAAAATAGAAAAATAAAAAATAAAAAGCTTATTTTTGTCTACAGTTTTAGCTACTCAGGAGGGTGGGGCAGGAGGATTGATCGCAAGCTTGAGGACGGCCTAGGCAACTTAGTTAGCAAGGCCCTATCTAGAAATAAAATTTAAAAAGGGCTGGAGATGCTCGTGGTAGATAGCTCATGGTAGAGGACTTGCCTAACATCCTGGTCTGATCCCCAATACTGCTAAATAAATAAATAGAAGTGTTTACCTTGCTTTTGTGAAGAAAAAACTGATTTGCACACAATGCAACAGGAACAGATAACCTGTAAAGTGTCAGGACCTTAGCTCTCCACTACAATCACTGGCAGGGGCAACTGATGCAAACAAAAACGTCCAGTTTGTCAGGTAATCATAAATTCCTGCAGTTAGGCTAACAATTAAATGACATAAATGTTCTTTGATAAGAAACAAGACAGCAACTAGGGCTTTGGGGCCTATAGTTCAATACAACCTCTGCACTGATTGTCATTGTGATCTGGTTGTGAAAGTTGTGTCAGCACACACACCAGCCAATCAAAAAACGTTAATAGTGTGACTTCCAGTTTCTGACCTAGCACCTGAGAAGTGGCTCCATCTTGTAAACATGTAGAAAAGCTGAACAAACTGAAAAACCAACTGTGCTTCTCAGATCTGCAAGAGAACGGGGTCACAGGAAACCTCTGCCCCCCAAACTGCATCATCAATAGGAGCAGAAACCCAGGAATGGCCACTTCTCCAGCCACCATGCCAGGCAGGGAAACCTGACTGTGAGGCGTCAGCATGCACAAGTCTGAAGGAAAAATCTTCCAGGGGACCCAGTCACAGCAGCCTGCACCTTTGTGACTTGTACCTCCAGGAGATCCACAAGGTCCTTATGGTAAATGTTGAAGAGAAATACCCCATTGGAAGCAGGGCAGGAAAGGGAGCCACTTTGAAAGGTGCCCATGCTTGGTATTCTTCCTTACAAGGTCTGCCCTGGGGAAACTAGTTAACCAGACACAATCCTGTGAGGGTTGAGCAGAGCTAACTAATAAGCAAGGTCACAGGGACTAAGAAGCAAGGTGGAGTTCCTAGCCCAGAATCACAGGCTCACAAAGACTGAG